CCATAAAGCAGACTTTCCCCTCTTAATAAACCGCCCTCTCTAATAATATGTACCGGTATTTAGGCAAGCCAACTTACAAAAAAATAGCATGCATCTTTATTAATTCCCCATTTCCCACAGGTCCTCCCTACCTGGGCTTACACTTCTTGTATTTAACTAACACATTTAATGATGCTGAAACCAGGAATCAGAAAAAAAAACATAAAAAAAATTGTATTTGATTTTACATAGTACTTTTTAATGACAATTTTAGACACTATTGCATGCATCATGGCTTTTTGTGTTCGAGTGGTAAAGGGTCTACTATAAAGAATTTTATTGTTATTTTTAAAGCACCAAAATCAAAAAAATGTCATACTAATGCATTTAAAAGGTTAAAAAAGATATAGAAAAAGTGGTCAAAAGCAGATGGTAAATTCAAAAGAAATTGGTGACCTTGACAACTGAAATGTGGAAAGGATAGAAGGTTTACTAGTACAGTTTCTGAACTAAAGAGCATACCATGCAGTGGGATCTCTAAGGATGAGCCACTTAAATGTAGAACTTTTAGGTATATATTCTAAAATTTACAAATTATATGTAGAATTGAGAGTTTTTGGTCCAAGTCATCGAAATACAGGGGTCTACAGTCTCCACTGCCCTATTGTAAGCCCTCAAACCAGCTTTTATAAAAAAAACTTAATAATGAGTTGTTGAACATAATGCCTTCAGTTATATTGTCCACTTTTTTAGTTCGTAAATGTCAGATAGATGATGCAAACAATAACAGAATTTCACAGCTGCAGTAAATAGGAATACACATGCAAAAGTAACCTTAAACTATAATGAATGTTATTTAGTCAGGAAAAAAATCAATATATTTTACTCCAATAAATCTACATTGAACATACTAAAGTTGACTTTTGCATTATATAATTGCCGGCTTCTAAGTGACATATGACAGAAATCTGTAAAGGTTAAATGGATTTAAACCACTTTATATATCCGATTGACCTTTAACATGGAATTGTGTATACCTTCAATTCAATTCAGCCACAGTGTCCCAAAAGCATTATAACTTTTACTCTTGTTAGCTGTGTTTTTTCTCCAAGAAATTCAATGATTCATTCTTAGAAAATGGCAATGTTTTACTTTTTTATTGCACACAAGAATACTTTTCAAGAGATTATGTATATTAGGAAATAGTTAGATGTCTGCAAGGCGGTCTTATTCTCGCTAATCAAAGGGGTGCATCACTATGCCTATCAAAGTACATATACTGTATGTTGCATGCTCATGACAGCCTGTGTTTATTAGCAAGGTAATATGGGGCTCTCATGCATGCACCAAGCACATCAAAGCACCATGTAAATCTTGAAAGATGCCATGATTCAGCCCTTTGCATGCATTTGAGGGTTATGGCCTCTTTTTGGTCTCAGATACTATGTATTTATATTATAAAACAATATTTTAATATAAATTGTTCATTTATACTAAAATCTGTTTTAACGTACCTTTGTCCTCAAATTCTCACTACAGATTTGCACCCTATAACCTTAACATGCACAATATATATATACTGTATATATATATATATGGAACGATCACCAAGGGTAAAGCTTTAACAACACACAGCCATGCGCTCTCTTCTTCTTTTTAAGGGCTGTTTTTGCCCAATTTTATTAAAAAGAAAGTTCCATATAACAGGTTTTCAACGTATGGGGTATCCAAAATCAATACAAACAAAAAATATTCAGCCTCCTGGCTCTCTTTAGCAGCACCGCTGCTCAGGCTTTATGCCCCGGTCCTGTTGATCATTCATGTGCAACACCCTGCACCCGGGCTAGCGTCCTTTCCCAGCACTCCTGCTTCTCTAGCCCACATGCTTGGGCTCTGTCTGCTCTCAGACTATACTATGCCACCATGCACACTTTTGGCTACTCCCTTGCACCCACATGGACTCCTTGGGAGGGTGGAGCCCAGAACCCTGGTCCTGACTTTAGAAGAGAGCCACACACACCTGACCAATCAGTCTCCTGGCCATTCCCAAAACCTGGTCAAAGATTGGAGATTTCATCCCTCCCAATCACTTTGAAATATCCAGGCTCCAGGTCCCAAATGATGGACTTTACAAACAAATGAGGAAAGTGAAAAGCCAGTTTCCACTCTGTACTGTATATATTATATTGGGTTACATAGTCTGGATGAAAAAAGAAAAAGACAAAATTCCATCCAGTTCAACTATAAAAAAAAAGTTATAATCCTATACCCAAAGTTGATCCAGAGGAAGGCAAAAAAATCCAGCAAAACATGGCCCAATTTGCTCCTGCTGGGGAAAAAATTCCTTCCTGATCCCCCAAGAGGCAATCGTATATTCCCTGGATCAACTTTACCTATAAATGTTAGTATCCAGTTATATTATGTGTATCTAGGGTTACTTCAGGTAATCAGACATAGACTCAGTAACTCCAAACTCATTAAATCTTTTGGTGACAACTTTTCCCAACAATTACACACAACATACACAGAAGCACTACTTTAGTATAACTATGACCACCAGGTACAGGAACTTAGAGATAGGGGTTGCTGATATTTGAATGCTGATTACAGTATATTAAAGTTCCACTTCTTAATGCCCAGATCCTTGGTTACCACATAGAACATATTTTAATCACATCCTTACCACGCTATAACCAAATGACAGCTACAGCATGGTTGTCCAGTTCTGGGAGGGTGTAATATGACGTCCTCCCATAATGTGCCCTCCCACGCACCCCCAGCGGTGCACATCTGGCGATCACTCTGTCCTATGAACACAACTGATTATGTAAAAGGCCAATCACAGCAAGCCTTTTACCACGTGATCAGCTGTGTCCAATGACACAGCAGATCACTGAGTAAATACAGTTGCCGGTTATCGGCAGCACTTTCCTCACATTATCACAGCGTGAGGAAAGTACTGCCAATAATCGGCAGCTGTCACAGAGCAGTTCGGCACTGATCATCAGGGCACTGATCATCAGTACCTGATGATCAGTGCCCTGCAGTGCTGCTCAGCAGTGCCACCCACCAGTGCCCAGCAGTGACACCCACCAGTTCCCATCTGTGCCCAGCAATGCCACCCATCAGTGACCACCATCAGCGCCACCCATCAGTGTTGCCCAGCAGTTGCGTCCATCAGTGTCCAGCAGTGCCGCCCATCAGTGCCCAGCAGTGCCACCAGTCAGTGCCATCAGTCAGCATCGCCCGTCAGTGTCATCCATCAGTGTCCATCAGTGCCGCCTATCACTGCCCATCAGTGCCACCTCATCAGTGCCACCTCATCTTTGCAGGCTATCAGTGCTCATCAGTGATGCCTATCTGTGCCACCTCATCAGTGCCCATCAGTTCTGCCTCATCAACGCACATCAGTGAAGGAGAAAAATTACCTGTGTGCTACATTTTATAATAGAAACAAAGAAAAACTTTAAAAAAAATGTATTGCTCTTTTTTTGTTTATAGTGCAAAAAATAAAACACCCAGCGGCAATTAAATACCAACAAAAGAAAGCTCTAGTTGTGTGAAATATGATAACATTTTCCTATGGGTACAGTGCTGCATGACCACGCAATTGTCATTCAAAATGCGACAGCGCTGAAAGCTGAAAATTTGCCTGGGCAGGAAGGGGGTATAAGTGCCCAGTAGGCAAGTGGTTAAGTGACAGGAGCAAGTCTTTGCTTTACTTGCTACTTGTGGTGACATATCCACTTCTCTTGGGTGAAGGGATGTCCCGGATGGTCATGAAGAAACAATCTATACACAGCAGGTGAGCTCCAGTACATTGCATTGCAACTAGACGGAACATGATCTGCAGACAATGATTCAACAGCACTTTAAAGGAAAGCTATCATGTTTTATTTAGGCTTTGTACAGTGAATGTATACTGTATGTACTGTATAAAATACTTTTTTTTAATGCCACCAATAGAAGACAAACAGGCATCCTGGATATTTCATTTTTTTCTGCATCCTAAAGATTGTTATAACCAGTATGACACCCAAAAAAAAAGAAAAGGATTTTCACAAAGAGAGGGATTTTTTTAAAACATAAGTGCACATTTGTTATGGGGACAGGTGCTTCCTAGAGTTTACTTTAAAATGTGTCCAAGTCAATGAATACCCACACACATTTAGAACGCATTTTATAATTAATTTTAAATCTGAAATCCATGCAAATAGTTAAAACTGTGTTAAACCCAACACCATAAATGGAATATATTGCAGCTTACCAATCATTAGAAGTGGTGGCTAGATTACTTTTCTTTTTTAAGGCTTTTCCCCTTTGTTTTCCCTGGTGATCTGGCCTGTAACACACCTGCTGTATTAGATTGTCCCCACTCTGGATGAATGAGCATACGGGGCACATTTGGAAAGCAGCATTGTCAGTCTGGGGGAGAGTAGTGGTACATAGACTGGCAGATTTAAATACACTAACAAACTAAAGCCAAACTCCAGCTAGCACTTTATAAGCAGTTCAAGTAATAAATGTTCCCTTTTGGGATAAAAGTTTTGCATAAATAAATAAAAGTTGATCATCGTAAGTATCCTTGCCATTGGTAAATGGTTTGCCTCATCCCTGTAAGTGCAAGAGAGCTTGATCTTATGAAAGTCACCAGGATCACCGGATGAAAATACAGAAAGAAAGCCTAAAAAGAAAATTATTGTAGCCATCACATCTAAGAAATGGTAAGATGCAATATAATAAATAGTTGCTTTGGGGCTTAAAGTGTTACCAAACCCAGGACCCTGCATTAACTATATCTGATCTCCCATAGTACACAGAACATGGAAATGCAATTATTTTAGTGAATATAAACAGCTAAATACCATTTCTCATCAGAAGGTAGAACAGTCTTGTGACTTCTATCAGTGTCCAGCAAAGCACTGGTTAAAGCTTGTAGGAGGAGTTTTATGTCTGCTCTAAGAGAATACAGAACCCTGACCTCTGTCTGGACAGTGCTGATTGGCCCTGTGCTGATCACATGCTCTCTCCTAAGGCAAAAAAAAAAACTCTCTAGCAATAGACACCAAACTGAGCATGTGCAGAATGTCTGCACACGATATGTCTTATCAGGAGATAAGAGGGTGATGCTGGAAGAAGGGGAGGATCAGAGAAGACAAGATCAAACAGCGTTTTTACACAATGCAGATTAACCCCTTAGGTTCCATAGTGAGTATATCAAGCATGCTTTACTGCATATACAGACTGATTTTACTGTTGTGGGTTTGGTAACACTTTAAAAGTGTAATATGTGATGCCCAGCGTGCATGAGGCCTTACATCTCTTCTGGACTACGGTGGTGATGGGTCTTTTCCTATCATGGGCCCAAGCTCTGTTTCTGGTCATCTTGGGATTTGGGGTGTTCCCATACCTGGTCATTTTGGGATTTGCAGTGTTCTTACCTACAAAAATTGTTTGTAATTCTATTCAGCCACTTATATTCTAGGTTTCTATACCAGGCAGCATGGCTTGGCAAGTGACCTTTCTTTTCATCTCTGCAGTTAAGTTATCAACTTAATGACATAACAGTGAGGAGCAGCAATCCACTTGTCAGGTCAACTCTCTGCTCCTCCATCCTTTAAACATGGAAGGAAAAGTGACAGTACCACATAAAGAAATAGAGCCCTGATTGACTTAGAGAGCTGCCTTTCTCTTTACCAGCTGGGGTTCTAGTATTCCAATTAAGTGCAAATATACATTTATTGGGTTTTAATGAATATAGTACAGGCTTAAAGGAAACTTGTCCTGGGAGAAATAGGGGAATTGCCTTACAGGAACTGTGTTACTAATCTGGAAGAAGCATGCAGCAAGTAAAGACAGAATTTCTGATCTGCCATCCAGAACTTCCAGATCAGTATTTCAAAAAGTGTTCACCAATGGATCGTTGGCAAATCAACTAGCATTTTTAAAATTACTCTGAAAATATTTATTTTATTACAGTGTTTATTTAAATAGTGTTTTTCTATATATGTTTATAATTCCACTTTAAACAGTTAAGCCATTTATTTATACGTCGCTTTATGTCACTTTTTCTTCCTTGCGATCATCCAGTTCTAAGCAACCATTTTATCAAGGGACAAATAAGACATTTCTATAATAAACATCCATTAGCTTACTATATATGAGTAATATTCATCTTGTCAGATTATATACATAGATACACAAATATAATTTGTATACTTATAGACTGAGACCAATCAGATCACTGTAATGTCTACATTTACCCAGTATACTGTAGATTAGAAGGCCTTAGTCTATTTGTAGGCGCATGACAGTACGACAAGATTGCTCAAGTAATTTATGAATGTTTTGTGTCTTGCATTCCAGCCTATGGCACACCAACACAGTATTGATGTGTTACAGAATAATAGTGTTACCACTCCATCTTTACTGCTTTAACTCAACCAAAAAAAAAAAATTGTATAAATTTACTGGTAGCTTAAAAATAGAAAAGAAGCCATATATGTTTTAAATACATCAATTCTGTTTGTGTCTATGAAAAGGGCTATACAAGACCGAACGCAGATTTCCATTTTCTTATTTAATGCAAATAAATAATCCTACTAATATTAGCCTATGTTTTTAAAAATGTAAATAAACAGCATTTCTGTCAATTTATTTCTGTTCATTTTCTAATAAACATCATAACCAAGCATCGTCACTGTGTCGCACACCATTTGTGAATGTTTAGAATGCTGAGACTACTCCCACAGCTGGAATTGACAATCTTCATAGCTGTACATTCTGCTCTTCTGCTGACATACAAGCCAGAGGCGTTCCTAGGGTTGGTGTCACCCGCTGCGGTAACACGTGTTGTCACCCCTCCAGAGAGGAATTGAACTGATATACCCCCATATAGGTTGAACTGATCTTGCAACCCATAGTGATCTGTAGGATCAGCTTCAGTGGTTTGCAGCTTGTAAGGGGTTAACTGTGGCAGCTCTGTGCTAAAGTTGGAGATCAGCTTCTTTGGCCTGAAACCGGCACATGCGAACTTGCTTCAGGGGATACATATCTTCACGGTCAGGATACTCATTTTACCGCTATACCGGGGGAAGCTGTCACTGTGCCGGGAATCCGGGATCACCCCAATAACTGGCCAGGACCTTCACAGAGCCCAGAAGCTCTGCTGGAATCGTGCTCCTGCACCCCCTGTGATGGTGTCACCCGGTGTGGCCCGCACTCCCCTAGGGATGCCACTGATACAACCTAGTGTATAAAAAAGTCAATTTATGCTTCCACCTGTATCAGTGTAATAGGTAGGCTCCATGTACATGAGCCAACCATGACCGCCAGCCGTGGGAAAATGCAAATTGAGGCAAAACACTGGAATCGCTGGCAATCAAAACGTTCCTATCCTGAACACAATTTTTCCCCGTTCAGGACAGGGAGGTTTAACCTCACCTAAACGCGGCAGCTCATAAACTCTGATAAAAGCCTATGTGTACATGGCCACATAGGCTTTTATGGAGTTGAGTTTAGGAGCTTTGGCAACAAAATGCCAAAAGCTCCTAAATTGGAGTTTAGGAGATGCTCGTGTACATGAAGCCTTAGTAGACCCCCATGATTTTTTACTAAATTAATAATATTTTATACTATTAATATAGAGTGGTAATACATTGAAATAAGCATGTAAAAATCATATCATGAAAGATATGCTGCATTTCTTTTTTTAATCAAAAATGCAAATTTGCTTAGTGGACCTAACGTCATTTTGTGCATCTGGCTTCCCGTTTTACTAAATCGAAATAGCTGCCTACACCATGGATGGCCTAGTGTCTGAGAAAACTGCCAGAATTGATACATGCAGATAGCAAAGGAAGGAGAGAACAGCCTGGATCCACACTATGGATGCTAACGATAGATGTACGTACACTTTTTATGAGGACATGCTTTGTTCATTTTTCATGTCAAAGGTTTATAGCCACTTTAATGAAAATCTATATTAGGGCTGGTTCACACTAGCTTTCCATTCCCTTTTCCTGTGTAGGCTAGTGTCCATGCTGGGCGAGCTGCAGGGGGTGGCACTTCGTGTGTTTACAATTCAAGGCAGTGTTTTGCACTTTTTTTTAAAGTTATTGAATTGTCACAAAGTGACATTTCATTAATTTTTATGGATCACAGCTCATAGAAATGCAGAGTCTGATAGATAGCTTCAGAGCAGAAAACTGCAGACATGTTGCCGTTTTCTGCACAGCAAGTCTCTGCAGCTGCCGGCTGTGTTTTTAGTGTGAACAGGGCACATAGAAAACATTTATTTTGCTTTGTCTATATAAGGGAATTCCAGTAAAATGACTGGTGCATAGAAATGCGCAAGTGCATGGCATTGCTCATAGAATGAAGCATAGAAGCATGTCCACAGTTCCTGTTGGAGCCAGACAGGCCATTTAATGGATGCTCTTGTTTACTGTCAGTAACTTTTCCTGTGTCCTTAGAGTATACTGTATTTGATGATCCGGCTTGTTAATGATCCAATTCTGGATTTTGCTTGTATCTCTGACCGTCTGTTCCTGACCTTGGATTCGTTCCTGGCCATGCTTCTGTACCACGTTGTCTACCTGCTACTAATCTTGGCTGCCTCTGTGAACTCGCTCCTGTCTCTGACTTGGCTTCATACTATTTCTAAATGTCTTCTTCAGCTATCCTTCATATCAGCTCCAGTCATTGCAGTTTGTTCCTGCCTAAAGCCTACTGAGAGTTTCAACAAATCATGCATCCAGAACCTGTACATGCAGAGTGCCCCTTTTAACCTCACCTGGTCCAGCTTGCATCACCTCTTCTCTTGGCCTGATGTCCTGCCTCAGCTCTCTAACCTACACCTCCCGATGCAAGTTCTGCTATCAGCACCTGCCAGCAACTATGTTTGTCCTGTCCCTCGGACCCATCTGTTCCACTCTCAGTGGGGCCTGGGGTAGAGATATAAGAGAGGCCAACCTTGTTAATTTAGTCTCCTACCAGGTACGTGAAAGTCTAGTGAAGATAAAAAACGTAAATCTCTGCACAAGTTTGAATGTGCAATCAAAATGAACCTCTATCAGAAATCAAATACAGACAACTGATGGTGCTGTCAGAGAGATCCCTAGGATCATTAAAACGAGGGTTTTCTATTAAGCAAAAGCTGTACTCAACTAGGAAGGTCTCATTTTTGTCCACTCACTACCATCTCTCATACCTCAACACTGTTTTTTTTTTTTTTAACTGAAATGGAAGACCTATGTGACCAACAGTAAAATTCTGTGGGCAGGAGAATCAGGCCAAAGCACACACTTTTCAAAGCTCATGCTTTAGCCCACCACAGAAAGTAAAGGAAATGTCCCCAGTTGTCTGACATTTGGTAATTTTACAGACACTCTTACCCATGCAGGTCAAAGAGAAAATGTCCCTACATATGTCTCTGCCCTCTTGGAACCTTTATATTCTCCCTGCCTGTGCTCCCTCTCTGTCCCTTCCTCTGTTGCAACTGGCAACACTGTCAGGCAATGCAATGTATAGAGGAGCATGTGACTTCATTCCTGTGACAGTGATTGGATCTAGCAGCCAAGGGCAACTTAGCCCAAGCACTGTCACATGACTGGTACAATGATGTCATCATTCCCCCAGGCAATGACACTAATGAATATAATGTTGACTGTGGCAGAGAAGGAGCAACAGACAGGGTGAGCACAAGGGGGTTGGGAGGTTCTATTTACTAAAACACTCTGACTTTGCCCTGCATGGGACAATGACCTGTAGAAAATTATTTTACCAGCATGGTATACTGTAAATTATTACAAATCATGGAATTAATCAGTCATATATCCAAAGGCCACAAGGATTTACTCCTTAAGGTATTACCTAGTCATTATCTTTACTATAAGCATTTCAGATTGTTTGCATCTATGTACAAACCTGATAATTCAGACTGGAAGTCAATAGAGGCTGTATATATATATATATATATATATATATATATATATATATGGAAAGACATATCTTTAATTCCCTCTTCACACAACACTGCAGTGTTACTGCATGCACATTAACATTCACTGCATTAACTAATGCACCACTACCCACAAAATAAATCACATGCACCCATCCCCATATTAGTAAATTCTGAGTAAGACTGAAAATAAAATCCAAAAAGGTAAAGTAAAAAAACCTTACACCCTGTATTCCAGCACATTCCCCTTAGCAAGGATGATGTCATTAGACAT